AAGCCAGGAATGAGGACTCGCTTCTCAGAGTTGATCTACTTGGTCAGCCAAAACCTTGGCTCTTACCTGCACTTGGTGCAGAGAGTTGATGAGATTTTTCCTGTGCCTTACAATAACATCAATCACGATCAGTCATTTACACTATTTTACAGTGTAGTGAATAACCCCAAGGACCCATTTTCCTTTAACAGCAGCACATAAAGCACAATATTGCCTTTCATTTCCTCTTTTGCCTTAAGACCTAATGAGGAGAAGCCTTGTTATTCTGTTCCTACATCTTGTGCGCCTAAACCTTTACGGTTTATCAACGTCCACACCACCAGTCATTTCCTGAATTTCAGTGAAACAGTTCCTCAGAACTAAACTACGCAGGCACCTTTTGTTGCATGTACAGTCAACTATGAAGAAGTGTTTCTCAAATTCCAGGAACTCAATGAGCAACAGTGATTTCCTCCATTTCAAATAAACTTAAAATAAATTATTTCCATTAAAAGAACAGCTTCAACCATAACAGTTTTGCAGCGTATAAAAAATAAGAACTATTGAGAATTATTTTTTCTTGCTACTGTTATCCAGCTATTGGCTTCCTGCACCACCTGACATTTCTGACACAATCAGTAGCAAACGTTTCTAAGCTACTACTAAAAATCAAGAACGACGTAAAATTAGGAAGAGAGGTTGGACAGACATTCTTCATTTAAGTGAACTAAGCATGCCTGAGGGTCAGAAGAGCTCACAACTAACTTTGGTCATGTTCTGCCTGTTCTCAGATCTCTGAACAATGGTAACTTTAGAAAACACAGTTTATCTATAAAGACCTAAACTTGCCTTCTACTCCTTTTGCATGACTGATTCAATAATCAATTAACATAAAGAAACTAAAATCATCTTGCATGGTTAGTTCCAACCTCGGCTATCTAAACCAACTTATGACAACAAAGTACTTAAAAAAGCAGTGCAGTATAAAATTTCTGTGACAAAGGAGGAAAAATAATCCCCACAAACACCAAGGAAAAAAAAAAAAACACAAAATCAAAAAAACCAAAAAGCAACATGTGTTTGCTCAGTGGTTGTTCACTATTTTGCTTTCTGGCAGATGAAAGAAGTTATCTTCTTTGAGTTTCAGATGTTCTGGTAAATCTAGCTGTTTTTTTGCTTCCTCAATGTCTTCCTGAATTGCTGAAATGAGCGCCTCTGAAAAAGACAAGAATAGGAATATGTAAAGCTTGGTTTGAATTCTGAACACACAATAGTGTGTGAAAATAAGGTCCCACAGAATATCAGACAACAGTCAAAGAAGCAGAATAAAAGGATTATCACGAGGTTTGAGTGGGAAAATTCTGTATTTTTTCCTATGGCTTTTTTTTTTTTTCCCAACCATGACAGAGTTGCATTTTTCACTGATATAAGCACTACCCTCTCGACATTTTAGCAAAAGATCAATGGAGTTTCATTAATTGTTTCAATTCTAACAGAGCTGCAATTTAAAAGCAAATTAACTGACTAGACTGATGCTTTTAGGGTAAGCCCATAATTTTAAAACTACTCCTCAGTTGAGTGACGAAGCCATACAATTTTCCAGTGTGATACACTGGAAGATGTGTGGGTATGCTTTTGGCTTTAATTAAAGCAATTTGTACATTTAGCTTATGAAAACATTTTACTGAAATTTCAAAAGTTAAGAGATAAAATATCTCTGTATGGAAAGAGACAGTGAAGACATAGCACTTGGACAATTAAGAGAAATAATAGATGATTTTGAGGGATACTGACAACACTTACCTAAGGAATCAAAGTTTTTTTCAGGTCGAATATATCCTATGATGACTATACTAAGAACTTCTCCATAAAAGTCTTCTTTGAAGGTGTGGATAATGTGCGTTTCCTAAAGGAAGATAAAGAGGTCGGCATGTATGACGAAGTTTTAGTTTAATTCCCTCATTTTAAGGACATACAGCTAATATCCCAAATTCAAATTCTCCCCAACATACACCAATAAAAGGGGGATTTAGTTTAGCACACATATTGCAAAATTAAAAGGCTAGGGCATTTCCTTATGTTAGGAGGGAGAATTCTACTTTGCACAGAATTTAAGAAAATGTACTCACTTAAGAGAACTCTGATAGCCAAAAGAATAACCCCAGAACAAACAAAGACAGAAAGGCATGACTCAGAAGAAATGCTTCACCACTTCTCAGAGGTGAGATTTCCAAAGCAGCAAACCACAGCTTAATGTTTCATAGTTACACTGATGCAGCCAAGCGGCTCTGAAGATTTAGGCTGAAATAGTTGGCTTAAGGAGTGCTTTTGCAATCAGCTCACACAGGAACATGGACTAGGTAAAATTCAACGTGTGAAGGCTGAGGCAAAGGCCCATCTTACGCTCAAAACCATTTTATGCATGTCTCCATCTCTACTACACGCCCACCCACAGCACAGAGCAGCACAGATACTCTGGAAAGCTTCTCACAGCTCAGGATTTTAACACAACTCCTCCAAGCCTTTACTGTGCACTTTTGAATATTTATGCTGTGTATCAAGCCATAGCACCTCATGTATGGATTCCATCATTTAGGACAATAATGAATAGAAAATCATGACAAATTAGGATGCCCTGACATCTCTTTCTTGAAATGTAAACAGATTGCACAGAACAACAAATGAGTAAATTCCAGCACATGCCAGGGCTCTCATAAACAGTAAATTCAGTACATCTATCAACCTTATGTTTAGTTAGCTATCAAACCCATGAGCAACCACCATTTCAGAAATGGTGTTATATTTTTATTTTGGAAGTATGTAACAAATAACGGAATACAGAGAAGGAAATAAACTTTATTCAACTACAGCTGCATACTCTTTGGTTACTGAGAATATTTTCTTTTCAGAATACAAACATATGATATAAATGCCAACTACGTTTCCAGGAGCAAACTGAATTTCTAAATCCCATTTATGGATCAAGTTGTGCGTGTCTTATTCAAATACAACATCTGGCTCATTTATCATAATAAAAGTCCCCCACAAAGCAAAATTCTTACCACTGATTTCTTAATATTCTTATAGAAAGGATTCCATCCTATGCTCAAAACCATTTTATGCACATCTCCATTTCCAACACAGGCCCATCCATAGTAAATACCAGTAGAGATATCAGATGGAAAGCTTTCAACTACTTGTTCAGAAAAGTTCGCTGCAAAAATTTTAGAAAGTGTGACGTGTGAGTGACTGTGTAACTCAAAGATATAACAGTCTTCAAACACTTAAAACCCAAACTCTGCCTACATATTATTTACAAACATAACACCACCAACAACGAGAATAATACAGTGTGCCATTTGGCAAAGTATAAAATACAAACCAGCTTCATAAAATTCAGGTCCTGTGGTAATACCAAAGTTATCACATCTCTCATGCAGGCTACATTTTATAGTTACACGTATTCATTACTGATTAATCACAGAAGAGAATATTAGTAATATGTCTAGTCAGAACGTATTTCACTCTTAGGACAACTTTTACAGCTTTCACATGGTGAAAACAATCAAGTTTCTTTTACAGCATAAAACAGCATCTCAGAACTATTGACTTGTTAGTAAAATAGTTACTTATGAAATAAAATATGTAGAAATAAATGACAGGATGATTTAGTCACCTCTCACCTTTGTACAAATTGCTTTACAGAGGCATCTGTGGATTTCTGAGACTTTCTTTGAAAGCTACATATCCACAGTAAAACAAACTCCCTTCTAAGTGAGCCTAACATTCTGTCAAAGGACTATCATACTTCTATTTCCCATATGACCAGATCTCTTAATACAAGACATCAAATTCACTTGAGAGAATTTATAGTCACTGAATTTTTACCGAAGCTCACAAGAAGTAACAACTTTCCTCCCCTGTTCCCTGACACCAATACATGATTTATATGCAGTCAAGAGCAAAACGTGGAATTATTAACAGATGTTGTCAGAAATCCAGGATATCAAGATTGTCTTAAAACAATTCCTCGTCTGCTCAGAGTAGTGCAACATGACTGGTGAATTCAGTGGCCAAGACACACAAAAATTCAATTGAATTATGCTTCTATCTCTATTTACACAAATGAAACGGAGTAGAGCAGTAAGAAAACATATTTCTTTTTAGGCCAAGTCCGCATGGTTTGTTTTTCAGCCTCTGCATTACCACCGTTGAGCTTCCCTCCCTGCAGCTGTTTCCAAAGCCTACTCCCTCTCTTGTTCTCTCTGAGGTTTATATGAAGGGATATTTTCCAAGCTGCCGCACCACACCATCGTGCATGTGACCCCTTATCTACATCCCGTACATCATCGCGACTATCACTAGCTGATTTAACCAAAAAAAGCAAGAACGAAAGAAACCGCCTGAATGACAGGGAAGAGAGTAACACAAAAGAGGGTACACGTCCCCGTGCAGCGCAGGGAAAACAACAGACAAAAAAGCTAGGAAAACGCGACCCCCGAACAAGCCCCGTCGCAGGAGGGGAGAGCAGGGCAGGGCCGGGCTCAGGCAGCGGCG